TGTAGACCAATCTGGCCTCAAATTCAGAGATCTACCTGCCTCTGTCTCCCAAGTACTGGGATTAAAGTTATGTGCCACCATACCTGGTTTATTTATTATTTTCTTCTGCTTTCTCTCTCTCTTTTTTTTTTCCTTTTTTTCAAGACAGGGTTTCTCTGTGCAGCCCTGGCTGTCATGGAATTCCCTTTGTAGACCAGGATGGTCTAGAACTCAAGAGATTCATCTGCCTCTACCTCCTGAGTGCTGGGATTAAAGGCGTGTGCAACCATCACCCAATGTTCATGTTTTTAAGGAAGAAAGGGGCATAAAGCCAAAGTTCTGGACCCAGGACCATCCTTGAAGGCCCTTCCACAGATAGAGTCTACTTCATAGAGTAGAGCAGGTTCCTATAAATGGAACTATAAAGATGGTTACTAGCTACATATGAGACACAGTGAAGCCCTATTCACCAGGAAGACTGCTGTTTAGCATCTGCCACTATGGGTCACCCACAGCCCAAGGCAGAGGGAGGCTCTTATGGAAAGCCACCTGTATTCTCTGTTCCTTTGCCAGGGATGTGATCCGAATTACCTTCATGAGCAGCTCCTTCAGAAACTCCTGTGTTGCTCTGAACATGCACCAGCAGGCGGTTCCCATTTTCATCACTGATATGCTACTGGAAGGCAACGTGGCCAACGTCTTAGGTAACAGTGGGGACACGGGACAGTGCTGGGAGCTGCTGTGGCCTTGGCATTAGTTTAAGAGGCTTAGTGTCTCTCACAACTTGGTCCTAGACCTGCTGCTTATGCATGATTAGTGAGTGGTCAGTTTCCAGCCCCCCCCCCACCACTGTATACCCTGCCCTGGCTTAAGCAGCCTGGCCCTGCCTGTGTTTCCCCCGCTCCTCCATCCCCTGCTCCCACTGGACAAATCCCCTGTGTGGTTAAGACCTGTTCAGTGCCCATGTTGTCCAGAGTCCTATGCCCTTTGACTCCACACCCTGGATGCCGGGTGTCTTCCTCACTTGCTGTGTGCTTCCTGTGTGCCAGAGTGTATGACAGCAAGCACGGCCCTCAGTAGGCTTCCTATATGTTCTTGTTCCTGCAGATGTCATGCAGAATTTCTCCACCCGACCAGAGGTCCAGCTCAGGGCCCTTAATAAGCTTGTGACAATGCCAGAGGAAGATCTAGGTAACGGTGCAGGCACCTCCCCCAGGCTCCCGGGAAAGGCTGGGAGGTGGAAATGGAGCAGTGTGGATGGAGGTGGGAACTGCCAGCCTTTCATTTCAGGCTGCTAACTGGAATTCTTCCTGATCCCATGCTTACTGGCAGAGGAGGGTAGGAGAGAGGCTGGCTTTTCCGCATGATTTCAGCAGGTCAACAGGAAATCCATCTAGCATTAGGAAGGCTGAGGCAAGAGGACTGAGACCTGGACAACTATAGGAGAAAGGCCTTGTTTAAAAAAAGAAAAGATGGAGCACTTCTGGGGTTGTAGTGGTACTACAGACTGAGACTTGTACAATGCTGGTTAACTGTTTCACTGCTCAACTACTTCCCCAGCTCTTTGGGGGGCTTTTGTGGTTGTTGCTTGTTTTTAAAGTTTCAGAAAGGGTCTTACTAAGTTGCTCATGCTGGTCTCAAACTCACTGTGTGGTCTAAAAAGTCCTTGAACTTGTGGTCCTTCTGCCTCTGCCCCTAGAGTACCTACAAGTGTGCACCATCACACCTGGTTGAAGAGACTCATCCATCTGTCCCACCATCTCTACAGTGGGCATCTGCTTACTTCTCATTTTCCATTTTTATAAACAGCACCACGATTGACCACCTGGCATACTGGTCACTTGGCATACGTGGCTGCGCGTGCTTGTACCTCTGGATATCAGAGTGTAAATGCTGCATACCATCCTCCACAAGCACACCAACTTGCCCTCCTACCAGAATGCTCGAGAATAACTCTTTCCCGGCATTACGGCTTCTTGGGAAATTTTAAATGTCTGAAGACATGCTTTCCTGTCTCTCCTGCTCCAATGTCATACTCGTATACCATCCATACACCCTTCCCTCCAGCTAGTTCGTCACTTCCTTCCTTCCTTCCTCCATCTGCTCACTCACCCGTCTTACCCATTCCTCCATCTACCTATCCATCCACAAAACACATCCAGAGGACACCAAAGATCTGTTTGAGTGGTTAGGACAGCAGAGGTTACAAGGAGGCTGATGTGTGACTCCTAATGAGTTAACAGACCCCTCATATTGGCCGTTACTCTCCCGAAGTCCCTTTTTTTTTCTTTTTTTAATTTATTTATTTATTAAGGATTTCTGCCTCGTCCCCACAACCGCTTCCCATTTCCCTCCCCCTCCCCCGATCAAGTCCCCCCCCCCTCATCTGCTCGAAGAGCAATCAGGGTTCCCTGACCTGTGGGAAGCCCAAGGACTGCCCACCTCTATCCAGGTCTCATAAGGTGAGCATTCAAACTGCCTAGGCTCCCACAAAGCCAGTACATGCAGTAGGATCAAAAACCCACTGCAATTGTTCTTGAATTCTCAGTATTCCTCATTGTCCGCTATGTTCAGCTAGTCCGGATTTATCCCATGCTTTTTCAGACCTAGGCCAGCTGGCCTTGGTGAGATCCCAATAGAACATCCCCATTGTCTTAGTGTGTGGGTGCACCCCTCGTGGTCCTGAGTTCCGAAGTCCCTTTTATAGTGAGACTGTAGCCGAGATAAAGCCCAGGGCAAGGCAGTTGTCTTTTTGGATAACAGGGGCTATAAGCCCAACAGTGGGCCTCATCCACCACCCCAGAGCTGCCTCTTCCTCGGCCTCGTCAGAGTGAACTTCCTGTGGTTATTTCCTGGGCACAAGTGTTCCTCAATCTGACATCGTTTTCATAAGCCAAGTCTCAAGACAGTGACAGCCACAGGGGCTGGGTTTACACAGCCATTTTTTTAAATTTATTATGCATATACACACCAGAAGAGGGCACCAGATCTCATTATAGCCGGTTGTGAGCCACCATGTGATTGCTGGGACTTGAACTCAGGACCTCTGGAAGAGCAGCCAGTGCTCTTAACCTCTGGGCCATCTCTCCAGCCCCCTTATACAGGCATCATTGACTCTCAGCTTTGGTATCTAAAAGTGAGCTGAGAAGACTTGCTTCTTGAAGCTGCTTCAAGTATATGCCTTGGCAGAGCTGGGCATGGTGTCATTGTGCCTGTGGTCTTTTACTCAAGAGGCTGAGGCAAGAAAACCACTACAGCCCAGGAACTCCAAGTTAGCCTGGACAATGCAGGATGTGGACCTTGGCAGATGGTCTGCTTCATGAGCTCCATTAACACACGGGTTGGTCATCCTCCTCTGCCCTTGTGTTCACCCACATGGATCCTCTGTATTCACTAGCGGGCTCCCAGCAGCCTCTGGGTCACACAGCCCGGCTGCTCCTGTGCCTCACTGTGCTGTGTGCGGTACAGGCTTGCCATGGCCCCCAGAGCTGGTGGAGGAGGTGCTCAACATCATCAAGCAGCATGAGAGGATCCTGGACATTCTGCTCAGCACCTGCTCCCTGCTGCTGCGTGTTCTGGGCCAAGGTAGGCACCAGACTGGATGGAGAAGCCCCACCCTCCTGGGTCCTCTGCCTCACCAGCTCCTCCAACTTCCCACTCATCCCCAGCATCTGTCTTTCCAGTCTGTTGTTCCCTTCTGTGCCTATATAACTCCATCTCAGAGAGAGGGCATAATTAACGTCTGCACTCACCGGGTCTACATGGGACCAGGGACCCTGGATAAGCCCGTCTCTCTCAACTGTTCCCCAGCTCTATCATAGGAGCTAGACAGGATGGTCTAGTGGGCTTGGAGGGTGTGACTGCCAGCAGGGGGACAGCACTCTGCCGCTGAGCTCCCCCAGCACTCAGGAACAGGAAGAAAACAAGCTACATCTTCAAGCCTGGAGCATCTAGTTACCCCTTTACCTTTCTAGTCTTAATACTGAGGGCCTAACCACCACACAGATTGTGTCTATTTTCAGGGAAGAGGGGGTAATCAAATCCAGGTCCTCTTGCATACTAGGTAAGCACTCTACCACCAAGCAAGAGCCCACAAATTCCATTAAATATTCATTGGGAAGGACCCAGCAAGGTCTTGGAGGCCAGAACTGGAACTAGATGCTATAAGCTTGTTGGTGAGCAAGGCCCCCATCTTTACAAAGACCCGACCAGTGCCTAAATAATAGACAGATCTGTTTCTTTAGTTCAAAGAGATGATGCTGTACCCACTAGGCTCGACCTTAGAGCCCCAACTGTGGGGTTAACCCACATTCTTTGTCTGGCTCCATCAGCACTGGCACAAGACTCAGAAGCTGAGATCCCAAGGGACTATTTTATCATCTCTTTCCTGATGAATGCCTTGAGGAGCCACCCCGAATCTGAAAGGCTTATTACCATGGTTTACAACCTGCTCACTATTATCTCCAGCCAAGGTGAGTGTGCTGGTCTTTTTCTGTCCTTCCTTTCTACTCTAAAAATCCAGGGACGGAACAGAGGCCTTGGGAGAAGGGCAGGAGAGGAGCTCATTCTCAAGATGGATAGCCATACTGTTCTCTGCTCTTAATGGCAGCCATGGGTACTACTTGGAAGCTGAGGACAGTAGCCAAGAATCAAATGGGTAGTTAACAGGTCAGGTCAAGGTTAGACACTGAGCCACTCCACGTCTTTGGCTTCTCACCTACACTAAGCCCACTTGAGTGAGAGGCTTATTAGAGGTAGGTATAAAATAGAACAGCCAGGCAGGCTAGGGATTGATTGCATCAGCCCAATGGGAAAAGGATTTTTAGATACCTTTCCTCCAAGTGTTTGTGGTTGTCCACAGGGTTGATCTCTGAAGAGCTGGAGGAGGAGGGGTTGTTTCTGCTTGCCCAAGAGCACCTGGACCACTTCCAGGAGGACAGGGACATCTGCCTTGCTATCCTGAGCCTGCTCTGGTCCCTCCTGATAGATGGTGAGGCCCTTCCTTTACAAGCCCCCCTGCATGAGACCTGCTAAAGCAGTGGCTTTCAACCTGTAGATTGCGACCCCTTTGGGGGCTGAACAACCTTTTCACAAAGGTTGTCTAAGACCATCAGAAAACAGATATACATGATTTGTAACACCAACAACTTTATGGTTAGGGGTCACCACAACACAAGGAACTGTATCAAAGGGTCACAGCATTAGGGAGGTTGAGAGCCACCACAGTAGAGCCTCTATATCAGCAGTTCTCAGTCTGTTACAACCTACAGGTTGAGAACCGCAGCTCTCTAGCTTACCCCTTAAGCCCAGGAGGGCAACCCCAGCCCTATGGGGCTCTTCTGAGAGCCTAGCACAGGGGCACAGTGAGACACAAGTGAGATAAGAGAGGATGCCTGTCCAGTGAGTAGGCAACCCTGGTTTTAGAGGTCAGTCAGAACTTGATGCCCTATCCTGGTTTTTGTTTTAAGATGGGGGTTCCAGGGCCTGTCCTTCCCCCTCTTCTAGATACTGTTTTGCTCTAGGAGAGAGGGTTCCAAGCCATGGCAGCTCCAGAAAACTGCAGAGATCCTGCTAATGCCACAGTGCAGAAAGTCCTCATCTCTACTGATGAGTCTACAGTAGACACTGGCATTGGAAAGCCCCAGTTTCCATCTCTGAGGACATCTGTCCCCTTGATTGTCCTCTGCTGTTGTTGGTGGGAGAGAGCAGTATGGAGGGTACACATGCGGCAGGTACCTCTCTTCATACGTGGCATGGTGTCTCCCACCCTTGTCCTCATTCTAGCTGCCACTTTGGACAAAGAGCCCTTGCAGAAGCTCTCAGTCGCGGTCACCTCGGTGCTGGCCATGCACCCCGAGGACGTGGAAATGGCTGAAGCTGGCTGTGCGGTACTCTGGATGCTGTCCTTGTTGGGTGAGCAGCCTGAGGTCTTGGTAACAGGGAGGGTGACCCTGGACACATAAGGCAACAAAGTTTATGCTCTGTAGGCTGCATAAAGGAGAGTCAGTTTGAGAAGGTGGTAGAGCTATTCCTGAGAAGCATGCAGCTGTGCCCTGGCAGAGTTCTGCTGGTGAACAATGTTTGTCGTGGCCTGGCCAGCCTTGCAAAGGTGTCTGGTAAGTCTGGGAAAAGACAGACTGCCACCATGGAGGTGGGACAGAAGCTAGCTCCCGGGGCTGGAGAGATGGCTCAGCGGTTAAGAGCACTTATTGTTCTTCCAAAGGTCCTGAGTTCAATTCCCAGCAACCACATGGTGGCTTACAACCACCTGTAATAAAAAAATCTGGTGCCAACTTCTGGCCTGCAGGGACACATACAGGCAAAACATTGTATACATAATATATAAATCTTAAACAAAAAACCAAAACCAAAACCAAACAAAGCTAGCTCCCTGCAGTGATGTCCACCAGCTGACCCCAAACTGGAACAGGAAAAACCAGTCTTCAGGAAACCCCGCTGGGACTTCTCTATTTTGGTGTCTTGGGACCACCTCCCCACCTATACACATGGGATACCCCACAGCTGCATGGATTTCCTACATATAGGTCTGTCTCCAAGTCCAGGCTTAGGCCACCTCTTACACTAAGTACTGGCAGTTGTCCTTTGTAGAGAACTCTGGGCCCAGGAATGGGCCATGGTCAGCAACAGCGAACAGTAGGGATGTTCCCACCCTTGGTCTGTAACGACCACTTCCCTTGCTCTAAGAGCTGTCTCCTTGGTTTCATTCCTGATGGGTTCTACTCAAGCCAGTCCACTGGGCTTCCCAAGCTGGTAGGACCTCCAGGAAGCAGTTAGGGATCTTAGTTCCTCCTGACTTATCCCTGACATCCTTATACACAGCACCCTGTGGGGAGGGTTCAGCCCTCTGAACCCTGTTAACTGATGCAGAATGTTAGGGCCACCTGTACAGGAGACCCTCCTCCACAGTGCCACAGCAGAGCTTCCGTGCTGAGGAGAAGAGGAACACAAGTGCTGTATTTCCCTTGGGCGTGGGGCTCGCTGCCAACAGGTGCAAAGCTATGCTGCAGAGACAAAGTGGAACAAGCACCTCTTCCAGCATTTTACAGAGCATGGGTCAGCCCTGACTTCAGGAGCTTCCTTCACAGAAGGCTGGGATTCCTGGTCAAAGAGAGCTCTCCCAACAGCCTTATGACCATGGTCATGCTACTTCCCAGTGACAGTGGGTACAGGGGGCTGAGAAGTAAGGGCAGCAGCAAAGGGGCTATACTCGAATATATTAAAACCCAAACTCCCTTGCATCCCTCCCCTAGAACTGGTGGCCTTCCGAATAGCAATACTGGAAGAGGGCAGCAGCGGCCTCTACCTCCTCCAAGATATCTACCATCTCTACAATGATGACCCTGAGGTGGTTGAGAACCTCTGCATGCTGTTGGCCCACCTGGCTTCCTACAGTGAGGACCCTTTCCTTGTCCTCTCCCTGGCAGGAAGGGAAGGAGTCCCAGAGCTTGGTCTCAAACCCCTGTGACTTCCCACTCATTAACTCCAAGCAAAAGTGGTACCCAACTGACCTTATCTGGCTGGTGGGCAGGGATCCTGAGTCTCACCACCTTCTCTGTTCCACTGCAGAGGAGATCCTGCCAGAGCTGGAGTCTGGAGGTATCAAGGACCTAGTCCGGATAATCCGGGGACGTTTTACTTCTAGCCTGGTAAATCACGGTGACACCTCTATCAAGCTGGAACACTTGTGTGGCACTGACCCAGAGTTCCACATGATGCTCTTCTATTACTCTCTTCCTGTGATGGGGCTAAATCCAATCTCAAGGGGGAAGGGTAGCTAGACCACTTCAAAGATTCCATCCGTCAGGGGGCTATGTCATCAAAGTAATTGCTCCTGGATCCTGACACCCCCGGAACAAATGGTTCACTTGTTTCCTCCTCCCAGGAGCTGATTTCTTATGCTGACACGGTACTTCAGGCACTGGAAGCAGCTGCACACTCCAATCCCTAGAAGCAGCAGCTTGAACCTGCTTCAGAGCCGGAAGCCCCCAAGGTCTCCTCCCCACCTCAGAAAGATCCTATCTTCTGGCCCTGAAATGCTGCCCTTCTAGTCCTGGAGAGTACTGTATTTTGCACTCCTTGGTGAATAAAGAAGCCCTAAGCTGGTCATACCATGCCTGGCCGTGGTGTCAATGGTCCTGCACTGCAGGGTATCAGAAACATCTAGATAATGGGAAGAAGCTAAGCTTCCACAAACTCCATTTATCCATCCATTTATTTTTGACAGCGCTGGGAATGGGCCCAGGGTCTTGCACACTGCGGACAAGTGCTCTGAGTTCACACCTCAGTTCACAGCTCCATTCTGAGAGTTGTCATGTAGGTCCATAAAGTTCATTGCTCACTCTGGACCTGTTGCCAGAAGACAGCAGGCAGATGCCTTTCTGTTTGCAGTGCACCAGAGTGGTAGGATTTTACACCTCCAGGTGTACCTGTGCCCCAAGTCTCACCCAAGGACTATGTGGAGAACAGCATATTGGATGTTGGCATTTTTAGATGACTGAGCCAAGCAAGGAACATAGGAGAAAGTACCCACAGCTAAGTAGCTTTAAGAAATTCCTCACTGGGCAGCTGCTATGTTGGCCAGATTGGCTTGCAGCAGACTGAAGGCCCTTGGATCCCTTAGGTCCAGCAGTGCTTATCCCCTTCCCCACAAGAGGAGACGATACTCCTTGCTCCTTAGGAGAAGGTGCTGAGTGCCCCGGCTGAATGCAGCTGTGCTCAGTGTTAAGGGTGGTACAGGTGGTTGGCATACACAGACACTGCAGCACACTCATCCATTCCAATCTCTCCTTCCTCTGAACCTACGCTACACCCAGACTTCTGTCCTGGTAGCAGAGTCCAGGAGGAGGAAGTTCCAGCAGCTCCCATGTCACACCCCTGCAGCCATGGCTCTGAAAATGCTCACCAGAGTGAGTCCCTGCTGTGCAGAAATCTGATGGGCCTCCATAATCCCATCCCAACTGCCACTGAAGAGTCACTGAAGGATGCAGAGGAGGTGGCAGTAGTAAGCTGGTGCTAAGCGTACTCGCTGCAGGGCTTTGGGGTGGTGGCTGGGGGGCGCCGGTCTGCTGTAATGCTCTCCCACTGCCGCTTTGCCATGATGTACAGCCTCATTGCTGCCTGGGCATCCTGGACCTGGGTGACACACAGCAATGTTGACTACCCAGCTAGTGAGAAGACATGGTGGCCAGAGGCCACAAAAGCAACCCTATGACTACTGAGTCTTCATGACAGCCACAGCACTAAGGCTACATGGCCAAGAGAGGCACATACTTCATAGGGTGACTGTGGTAAGGCGATGAAAGAAAATCATGAAAAATGGCTGGAACACCAGAGCACAAGCTAACTCCCGTGCTTCAGACTCAGCCACTCTGTTAATACGGGCAGAAAGGAAGCTGCTGAGATAGGCACAAGGGCTCAAAGAGGTAGAGGCTGCACTGCAGGGGAACCTGCTCTCCAGAAAGACTGATTGGCCAAGGTGTGTGTATGGGGGCACTGTTGAGACTGAGAGCCCAGAGCCATAAAGTCCTAAGGCACCTTTGTTAAGGTTTGGAAACGCTCTGTTCCTCCATGGCTCAAGTGCTGGAGCTAAGTCATCAACATGGCAGTACAGGGGTAACAGGACCTTTCAGTGTTGGGGCCTAGCGGGAGGTCAAAGGGTGCTAGAAGCACATTAGGTGATTCTTGGGGTACCAGTAAGTTCTGCCAAGAGTGAACTGCTGCTTCTCCCTCCTTGACATCTCTCTGATCAACTAAGCCTCATTACCATGAAGTCCCTAACCTCAGTTATTTAGTAAAATACTGCAAGTACACTAATAGTCTTCAATTAGACTGGTGAATTTTGTTTCAGATTCTTACAGAGTATTCTTTGTATTGAGTTCAAGTTAAATATAAATATTTAAGATATAATCAACATTTCCTGAGCCTGATCTGCCTAGGATCCTCTCTTCTGTGTCTATGGTCAAGTGATACATACGAACCTAGGTATTAAGGTCAGGGGCTGTTACCCAATGATACTTACTGAACAATGTTCTGCCTGCTGGACCCTGATCCCCAGAATTTTCTCACAAAGTTGTTTCAGAGATGGTCTTCCACTCTGTAGAGAGAAGGTGCATACCACTGAATGTGCTGCTTTCACAGGCTCTGCCCAAGGAGGATGCAAATGGCCACACCTCAGTCCTGCAGTTTTCTTTCCACCAGGAGTATCTGTGGCATGTAGGGTTGCAACCATTAGCCCACTATGGCTTATGACACTGCTTATCAGCCAATAAAGGAGGAGTTGGGGGCTGGAGATCTACCAAGTGGTAGAATGCTTTTAATTTTTAAATTTTTATTAGTGACACACAGATATGTCTATATGCATGTGGGTATGTACATGTAAGTGCAGGGCCTAAAAAGGCCAGAGGTGTCAGGTTCCCTGGAACTGAAGTTCTAGATGACTGTGAATCACCTGACAAGGGCTCTGAGAATTTAACACATGCTCTCTGTAAGAGCAGCAAGTGCCCTTAACCAGTGAGCCACGTCTGAGGAAACCTGTGGAGCCAGTTCTCTTCAGTTCCAGGGATCAAACTCAGGTTGCCAGACTCAGGCAGCAAGCCCTCTTAAAGGTTAAAATGAGAAACCAAAACAGACTAAATCCCTTTAGCCACGGGGGGTCAGTGCCAGGGACCAGCCACAGTTCAAGACTCATTACGTACCCTTACTTGACTCCTGAAAGGTTTGAATTTTTGGGTGTCCCTGATTTTCTTTTTTGGATGATCAAGGAAGAGTACCTAGAAGAAAATGATGACAAGTATCTTCATTTCAGTCTGCAGTAGTGGAGCCCCCTTTCCCCTCTTCCAAAGAACCAGAAGGTGTAACACTCAGAAAAAGGCAGAGCTCCTTAAATTAATCGCTCTCCCTTAAGGGGAGGCCCAATATTAAGAACCATATTAATAAAAATAAAATCTTGGCCAGGTGTGGTACACACTTTCAATCCTAGCACTCCGGAGGTGGAGGTGAGTGGAAAAAAAAACAAAAAACAAACAAACAGGGGCTGGAGAGATGGCTCAGAGGTTAAGAGCATTGCCTGCTCTTCCAAAGGTCCTGAGTTCAATTCCCAGCAACCACATGGTGGCTCACAACCATTTGTAATGGGGTCTGGTACCCTCTTCTGGCCTGCAGGCATACACACAGACAGAATATTGTATACATAATAAATAAATAAATAAATAAGTTTAAAAAACAAACAAACAAACAAACAAACAAAAAACCAAAAAAACAGAATAGAATAGAATCTTGACATCAAGATGCTGAGAAAAAAGTCAATTAACCTGCAACCTTCTTTATCTGAACTGATTCTGTTCACGGGGAAGCACAAAATGAAAGTTAACAGCTTACCCTGCAACCTGGGAGACTTCACACAGCCCAAAAAAGTAACCCACTAGAGGAAGCATGTGTGTCCCTGGTGACAGTCTTCTCTAAGGTGACTCAACATATCAGCAGGCAGGTAACTTTCATTCATTTTCAATTGTAAACATTTGTTATTTTTATTTTTTTTGGTGCGGGATGAGACCCAGGGCCGCATGCATCCTGCCACTGAGCTATGTGCCTAGACCTATACATTTGAATGGGAACTAAACTCCCACCTAGAGGTTCCTGAAACAGCGAGTAAAGTGGTACCACAGTTCATACCCAGCAGGCATCTAAAGGGGCAGATGTCCTAGCACTGGGTGGTCTCTGAGCCCAGTCACCTAACTGGCTGATGTGTGGCTGGTCGAGGGAGGTGATTAGCTGGAATGACACGGAGGAAACATGTGCCCATGCGGATCCTCACTAGGAACAGCTGAGTAGTAGCAGCAGGTCAGCTCTGCCAGTCTGGGATGCTGAGAAGCAGTAGGGAAGTATCTGGGTGTGTACCCATTGCTCTCATGGAGCCATCTCTCAATACCCCAAAACTCAGCTCTGCCACCCTTAAGCCTAATCCCTGTCTCCAAAGGATTAATCAAGATCTGCTTACACTGTGTGATTGTTGGTGGCACCCAGTAAGGTTCTGATGCCTGGCTTTAAATATCCACCATAGCAGACTGCCGCAGAGGTATCCCTTATGCCAAGTAGACTATGCTCCCATTTTCCTCCAATGGACCAGACAGCAGTTTGCTTGTGAACGTAAGGGACCCATGTAATAAACTCAGGCTAGGTCTTCCTCAGATGCCAGGGGAGAACAGGATGCTGGGCTTCCAGCATCACAGCCATACCTAGATATGAAGTGGACAAACAACAAGAACTCCAGGGGTCTAACAGTGTAGAGAAATTTGTCTCTGGTCATGGGGCATACAGCTAGACACCAGACCATCTGCCAGAGCAGACAGGTGACACTCAGAGTCCCCTTCATAGAACTGTCAGCCCTCTGGCACTGGAACCAGTGTAGTCAGGACTCTAAAAACAAGTACCTAATGTGGTCTCTTAGACAGCAAGAGCCCAGGTACCTGACACTATTCCCAGAGAACTTCCAAGTCAAGATAAAAATTCAAAATGAAAAATCCCCCAGAGTGGTGCTTCTAGAGGCAGGCATGTGGGGCCGTGTGTGGCTCACATGCAAGAGCTATGGCCCCAAGACCAGCACCTTTAAATCATTGTGCAACGCGTGCCCCACCAGGATTCTGCCCTTCAATATTTCTGCCACTTCCTTCTTCACGACTTCAAACTCTTCTCCTGAAAACCAAGCAAAGAAGTGGTTAACAACACATAACTCACCTAGATTCTCACAGACGTTCCTCCCGTTCCCTGATCAGACTGATGATAACAGGTCAGGCCCTTAATGATACACAGAGCTTCAATGGGAGGTAGACCCCTACAAGTGTCTCGCTGGACCCCAGGGACGTGCAAAGCCTAGGAGACCCACTGTGCCTTGTGCTCTGCTCCCACTTCTGGGGACAGTTAAAGAAAAAAAAAGGGGGTGGGGGACAAGCTCTACTTAAAACCAACTAGTGGACTGGCAGCAGTTAGCAAGCCCCAGAGAAGCTTAAGAGCATTTAAGACTCTTAGGTATTCCTGACGATATGCTTCCCACTCAACACAACTCATACTTATGACTTCCCAAGTGGACTCAGACTGCATCTCTCCCACAGACAGTGCAAGGAGGGCTGCATGAACCCGAGTCTGGTCTGCTGCTCTTTCCCAGCAGACATCCTTTGGGGACCACCCTGCCCCCACTCCTACCAAAATCACTTCTGCTCAACTCTGTTCAGCGCTAATAGGACCAGACTCCTTCTGAGATAGAACACAAGAGCTGCTGGTCAGCTTACTGTTCAACAGAGCCACCTTATTGGTCATGGATACCAAGAGAAGCAAACAGGCAGTGTGTGGTGAGGAATGGGGGAGAGATCACAAGGCTGCATCTCTAGTGGTCTCCAGGTCTCTCTAGGAGGCAGGCTCAGAATATCCTAGATGTCCTCTCCTATTATAAATCAGACCTAGTCTCTGCTATGTTAGGTCACTTCTTCCAGCCCCCTCCCTATCCAACCCCTGCTCAGAACCAGTCTTCTGATCTCCACCCTGTTCTCAACGTCCTGCTGGAGGCCTTACTGCTAACACTGCACTAGAGTTTCCCAAACAGACCCTGTGATCTGTCCCCCAGCTCCCACGTGCCCTACTCACCCTTCATGGCTTCCCTCCTGGTCCCTAACACACTTCATTTTATTCCCCACTGCTATACAACAGAAAGAAATTCAAGAGCACTGTCCTAGGTAGGAGGCAAAGAAGCAAGGACACAAATAGACAACAGCCAGAAAAGATACCTTTTGCATCTGCACAGTATGCTACTCTGAGGAAGAGGTAAGCAGTGCCAGGACCCCTGTCACACCTTGTTCCAGAACACCAAGGGGAAAGCAGGAGAGAAATAAGTCCTGCTACCATCTCCATTGCTACACTGAAATCCTATGGACATCATACCCTGCTTCAGGTTCTCAGGCCGGATCCCACTGACTGCTGTCCTGTAGTCTGTCACGGGCTCAGTTGGCTTCACGTACTTGTCGTAAACACACTTCCCATACTGGTTCACGATGGACACGCGGGCTGCGATGCTCTCTTCCCCCTTGGGGCCCACGCCTACCATCTCACAGTCCAGGGCCAAGGCTTTTGTCAGGCTGAGGGGAACCAAAGGCCCCAGTGTAATAAATATCACAGACCGGGATTCTAGGCCAGTGAGCCAAGACCATTCATCACCATTTTGCACCCCTAAAACCTACTGGGCAGTCATGGCTCAGTGTTTGCTCCTCCTCCCCTGAGAGATTACAGCCCCAGAAGGCAGAACATTCCCAGCAGCCATGGACCGAGCACAGCTTACCCGCTAAAGGCCTGTTCCTTCTCCAGGGTGATGTTACTCTTGCTCTGCCCCAGCCGCTTCCATACCAGCATGGCTGCCTCTGGGCCTATGGCAGCTTCAATATCATCTGGATCCACATCATCAAACCAGATGTCTTCCCTATGAGGCAAGGATGAGAGTGTCTGGCTGTGAATAGACATGGGGCACTGGATGCCTGTTGAAGGAATCTCTCTCCCTGTTGGTAGGCTGTGAGGAGCGGGAGGGCTAGCAGGACTGTGCCCCAGCACACTTAGTCCAGTTGAGCCGCTGCTGCACTTTCCTTTTACTGCTGTTCTTTCTTTCTCTAATACCTGTGATGGCCAGAAGAGGGCAGGCACGGGATCCCCTGAAACTCTCGGAGTTATATAATAAAGTTGTGCACTTCCAGGAGGGAATCCAGGCCTATGAAAGAGCAGCCAGTATTCTTAACCACTGAGCCAGCTCTCCAACTCCTCACAGTTGTTCATTAGTATCTGCAAATGTATCTATTATTCAAGACTTAAAACTACATATAAAACACAAAGAATGTAATTAACAGAAATGTGACCCACTTCAATAGAGTTGACCACTGACATCTAATTAAATTATAGATGTGTTATCAATCAGGATACACAGGCAGGAGGACTGCATGACACAGAGACCAAGGCCTTGCACTGTCTCCACATTTTGGAAGAGTGAGAAAGACACAGTCGATATTAGATGTTCCATGGCTATCTGATGTCAATGTACTAACAGGCCTCTTGTTTTGTGTTCTTTGCCTTCTTCACTAGGCTCCCCTGACCACCCCCCATACAAATGCTAAAGTAAACATCCGTATCTCCCCTACTTCTATCAGCCTTAGGAAGGAAGCAAGGATGAGAGCATCTGGCTGTGACTAGACATAGGACACTGGATGCCAGTTGAAGAAATCTCTCTCCCTGTTGGTAGGCTGTGAGGAACAGGAGAGCTGGCAGTGAGGGGGCAGCACTGTGAGGGCTGGCAGGACTCTAAAAACAAGTACCTAATGTGGTCTCTTAGACAGCAAGAGCCCAGGTACCTGACACTATTCCCAGAGAACTTCCAAGTCAAGATAAAAATTCAAAATGAAAAATCCCCCAGAGTGGTGCTTCTAGAGACAGGCATGTGAGGCCGTGTGTGTCCCCCTAACCCAGCCTGCCTGTAGGGCTCAGAAGAGGCAGCCAAACCCATACCCTTTAGCGCTATGTCCTATAGTCTAGTCTGTCATGGTCTCAGCAGATTTGACAAAGCTGTCATAAACATACTCTCCATACTGATTCCCAAGGGGATGCTTTCCTTCCCCACAATCCAGGGCCCAGATTTTCTTTAAGCTAAAGAGAAGGAAAGGCTCAGATAGCAAGAGCCAGACCGTCTTATAAGCACGTCCCTTTGAGGAGAAGTATCACCACAGTGCTCATTAAGTAGCCAAAAGACACTAACACATGCTGTACCTCAGCTCCCCTAATCATACAGATGGCCTCACTGAAGAAAGGATGCAGAAACATGCCCAAAGCCATCAACTGGCAAGAGGCAGGGCTGGGCTTCACAGGACTCCTGGTTCCAGCACACATTAATGCCAAAGTTTTTGCTGGCCTTTCCCTTGTGCCAAGCTCTACGCTGGGGTCCAAAGACACAGCACTGATTGTACAGGGTCTGCCTTCAGCAACCCACACTCTAGGGGAAACAGATGACAAGTAAACAAAACAAACCCCATAGGGTCAAAGAGGAAGACTGCACCAGGACCAGTGCTCATGTCTTCTCAGCGGAGAAGACGTGGAGGCTAGGTGCTCATGAAGGACCATCTGTATCTGTGGCCCAATAGCAAAGGACATACCAGTCACCAAAGCAGAGCTGATACTCACTCAGTAGGCGTGGACTGATTCAAGACAACAGCTGCCTCCTTAGCTTTCCGCTTATGCTTGGTGTCCCCTTGATGAGAAGAGATGTCACTATATGTCCTCTTCTTGGCTCCTTTCTTCTGTTCTGTTGTAGAGGTATTTGTGGGAGGTACTAGTATCTTTCTGTCCTTCTTAGATGTAGACGTAACAGAACCCCTAGTGGTCTGGTCTTTTTCTGTTCTCTTCCTGTCTGCCTTTGACTTTTCTGAGGTCTCTTTTTTGTTCTGCTGGATTATCTGGGAATGCATTTTGTCATCGTTCTGAGAGACAAGAGGTTTTTCTGGGACCTGTGACTTTTGTTTCAGCAGCTAATGGGATCAAAATTAAATATATGCCACATTTAAATTCTGAACTGACAAAGCACAGACTAAAGAAACGTGTATATAAATGCATACACAAACATGTAGCTACCATCCACACACAATTCCTGTCACCATCACCAATAGAAAATTATTGGGAAAACCCTTTATTTTATTTTTATATGTATGGGTGTTTTGCTTGCATATATGTCTGTGCACCACATGCATGCCTGGTGCCCACAGAGGACAGAAGAGGACACTGGATCCCCTGCAACTAGAGTTAGACAGTTGTGAGTCACCACATGGGTGCCAGGAATTAAACCAGGGTCCGCTGGAAGAGCACGCACATTCTTGATTGCTGAGCCATCTCTCCAGCCCCTGGAAAAGCCTTGTTTTTACTCCTAAGTCACTGGCATTGAGATTCTTTTCCTTGACTTATCTCAACGCATAATCTGGCATCTGCTTCTTCACTCTGCATTTCAAACTCTAGGCCATGCATACCCGAGTGGCTTAACACCCAGAGCATTTCATTCTGGGGCAGGAGCATCATTTCCCTTCTTTAATGTGGAGTTGCACATAGAGTGACTTTCATGGTCGACACGCTGGGACACAATGATCACTTCCTTTACACTATCTCTGGAGGCTGGCTACAGCTCAGGGTCTGAGGAAGACCCAAGGGAAGGGAGAGCAATGGAAAGAAAAAAAAAATCCTATCAAACCAGAGATGGTTGATGAGAACAGCCACAGCTTTGATCTTATCCAGGCAGGGGCAGAGATCCAGGCAAACAATTCCTTCCCTGTTTTCAAATCCCCAGCTAAGACCCCAGCAAGATGACATCCAACTGCAGTGGATGTCTACTTACTCACCCCCCTAAGCGTCAAGAGACCTGAAGGGCTTTGATTCTTGTAGAAACCAGAGCCAACTCCAAGTTCCCTATAGCAAATATGCATTCCAGGCATTTAATTTTACTAACTTTGGAGAGAGGGGAAAAAAAAAAAAAACCTGGCTCATAGAGCTGGGGCTGTCCACAGGGCTTGGCTGCTCCTGTGTGTACAGAGAGGAAAATGCACACTAAGGAACAGGTGGAGGTTATGGAAGTTCTAGGTTCTCTTTCTTATGAACTGAAGCTCCATGGCATACACTCGAGGATTGGCTGGAGGTCAGCAGATCAAAAAGCATGGTCAGTATCCCAGTTCTGCTATTTATGTGCTATGTGACCATTCTTAAACCAAACCCCTTAAGTTCTGTGTCTCAATTTCCTCATCTAAGAAACAAGGACAATAACAGCATCTAGTAAGAATTTATGAATGAGGGTGGGTATAGTGGTTCACACCCATAATCCAGCATTTGGGAGGCTACCCAATGTAGGAGGACTACCACTAGTGCAGGGAAACCCTGAGCTACATAAGTTCCAGAACAGTCTGGGCAGAAGTTCTGGGAAAGAGTTTAACACGTTGGCAGGGTGGCAACCGAGATATGGGATTTGTGATTGAGAAAAATAATTTGAGGGAAGCAGAGAACAACCTCTATAGAATGGAGAAGCACTGGCCACTACTAAAACTGTCAACAGGCCAGACAGCCACAACTACTGCCATGCCTACAGCCCGAAGTTCCCGTGAGGGAGTTCGTGCGGTACTGCCCTTCCACGTTTTGAAATCACCCGTCCTCCTTCGTGGTCTGTGGCTACCCGACCAAAAGTCCGGGATGAATGTGGCCTGTCGCCAGTCTCACCTCTTGCAGCGCCTTCCAATTCTGAGAAAAGTTCTCTGGGGCCTTTGGCGGTCGGCCCGCAATAGTTGGCGGGAGGCTTCCCGGAGCCCCGCTTCCTCCCTGCGCTTTCCTCTTCCTGAACTTCTTCTTGGCTTTCTTCCGAGCGAGCTTCTCGGCAGGCCCCGCTTGGGGCACCGGCGCGGTGACCTTCGCCTTCATCGTCTCTCAGCAGCCCGACCCCGCAGGGAAGACTCGAACTCAGCACAGACCGCAGAAGCACACCGCAGGAAGCAAGAGCACCGCTACAGTGCAGCCCGGGTGGCGCTTCTCTTCGTGACCTGCTGGAAACCGAGTCTGCACCTCTGGTTCCGCACGTCTGCGAACTCGGCGACCGGTCCGCTAGTTAACACCGTACAGGCTACCTACCTGGAGATCGTCCCCGTGACTGACAACATAGAGTTTGACAGAAGGGAACCCAGGCCTTCACCAAGATTAGGAGTCGTGAGAGGGAGGGAATGAAGAGAAGCAGGGACACCGGAAAAGGCTTGGGGGACCACTCTCGATGTGGCACCCCACGGAAGGCCGGAAGGAGTTCGTGTTGGTTGCCCTGTGTACAACCACACTGCGCAAACTCAGGATTTCCCGGTTTACCCACTCTTAGGGTTACCAAGGCGCGCCAGCTGTTTCTGATAATAATGGTAAAACAAGATTTTAATTGTGATAATGTACATATATTTTTCTTAACCGCCGTGTTAAAATGACCGGAAATCCACATTTGACCCTGATGGTGCGATACAATAACACAGATGAGACTTCCACAATCGTGTAGTTTTTCCTTCCCTGGTTTTCAGTGTTTAAAGATGCACAGCAAGTACAGGCCACTTAGAAAGGTCAGGGAGCCCCTTGGCGGTGGTGAAGACCCATGTGCCGAACACGATTAGCCCGCTTCCCTCTCCCTTTAAAGACCCAGGGCATCCAGATGAGTTCAATGACTAGGAGAGAGAAGTTTTGTAAGCTGCAAATTTTGCACTTACACAATTATCCGTGGTGGTTCGAGCTCTAGAATCAAAGAGGTTATTTTTCCCCTTCAATGTACTATATGCTCAGAACTCAATCTCTTTTAAACATTTTATGATTACTCATTTCTCATACAGAATGCCCTCTTGTTAAGACCTCTTGGTAGTAACCAAACCTTCCATTTATTGAACCCTTACTGTGTGTCGACTGCTTTTACATACTTTGATTTATGCAATCTCAACAATACATGAGGTGTCTTTTTTTTTTCCCCCTTGAGACAGAGTTTTACTATATAGCTCTGCTGGCCTGGAACTTGCAGTGTAGACCAGGTTGGCATCAAACTCAATAGATCTGCCTACCTTTATCTCCCAAGTCCTGGAATTAAAGGTGTGTACCACCACACCCTGCAGAAATGGCTGATTTAATACTTTTACTGATTGGAATAATAGAAGGTCAGAAAAATCTAATTTGTTCAAGGTCACATAGTTACTATAGCAGAGCTAGGATTTCTTTATTTTCATTTTTCTGTTGGTGCTGTCAAACCCAAGGCTTTACACATACTAATCAAATACGCTCTACCTCTATACTTCCAGTATAGGAACTAGGATTGGGCTTTTAACCCATTTGTTGAGTTCTGTGTCCTGCAATGTCAATTTTCACCCTATTTTCTTTCTTTCTTTTTTTAAGACAGGGTTTCTCTGTGGCTTTGGAGCCTGTCCTGGAACTAGCTCTTGTAGACCAGTCTGGCCTCGAACTCACAGAGATCCGCCTGTCTCTGCCTCCTGAGTGCTGGGATTAAAGGCATGCACCACCACCCCCGGGCCCTATTTTTTTTTTTTTTTTTTTTTTTTTGGTTTTTCGAGACAGGGTTTCTCTGTGGTTTTGGAGCCTGTCCTGGAACTAGCTCTTGTAAACCAGGCTGGTCTCGAACTCACAGAGCCGGGCCCTATTTTTTTATTTTTTTTATGCAATATGATTTATTGTTTTTCTATCCACCATCTCCCTCCATATCCTCCCTCCCCATCTTACTCCCCAGCAGACTTCAGGTTCTTTCTCCTTCCCTTACCCATCTCTCCCTAAAACAAAAAACAAAAATCAAAATAAACACAAATAACAAAACAAAACAAAAATCCCACAGAAAGCCCCATAGAATCCATTTTGTGTTGACTCCTGGACATTGGGCCTGTTCTGGAGTATGACATTTCCCTGGAGAAAACTTATTCTACCTTTCCCAGGAGGTTATCAATTGCAAATAACTTTTTTTTTTTTTTTGGTTTTTCGAAACAGGGTTTCTCTGTGGCTTTGGAACCTGTCCTGGAACTAGCTCTGTAGACCAGGCTGGTCTTGAACTCACAGAGATCCGCCTGCCTCTGCCTCCCGAGTGCTGGGATTAAAGGTGTGCACCACCACCGCCCGGCTGCAAATAACTTCTTGGTTAGGGGTGGGACTTTGTGTCCACTTCCTCTTTCGCAGTGCTGGAATTTTGTCTGGCTTGAACCTGTGCAGGACCCATGCATGCTGTCACAGTCTCTGTGAGTTTGTATGAGTCTGTATGTTGTAATCCGAAAGAGACTGTTTCCTTGGAATCATTCATTGGCTCTTATAATCTTTCCACCTCCTCTTCCAAATAGGTCCCTGAACCTTGAGGGGAGAATTTTGAATTGCATTGAGGGGTAAGTGCTCCAAAGTCTCTCACTCTCTACACATTGGCCAATTGTGGGTCTCTATGTTAATTCCCATCTACTGTGAGAAGTGTCTCTGATGGAGGCTGAGAAATGCACTGATCTATGGATACAGCAGTGTGTCATTAGGAGTCATTTTATTGCTATGTTCCTTTGGCAGAACAACAGTAGTAGTTTTCCCCCTAGGCCTATGACGTATTTGATCTCAGGTGCTTGGCCACTTTAGCAGTGTACTGTATGGGTCCCATCTCATGGAGTAGGCCTTCAATTCAATCAGCAGGTGATTGGTACTTTCATAACTAGGGGTTACAGACCTAGTTTAGTTTATTTCATCTTTATTTAACTTTGGTAGGTCTTATATTTCAAGAAATCCATCAATTATTTTCAGGGTTCTGGTTTGTTAGAATATGTCTTTATGGTTCTCTGAATTTTCTTGATGTCTGTTATATTATCTCTCTTTTCATCTCTAATTTTATTAATTTGACTCTTCTCTCCATCTTTTGGTTAATTTGGCAAAAAAGTCTTGGTTTTCTCAAAGAACCAACTCTTTGTTTTATGACTCTTTGTATTGTTTTTGTTTGTTTCTATTTTGATTATTTCAACCTGAGTTTGATTAATTCTTCCTCTTCTTATTTTTCTTTTCTGTTTTTTTCTTTGTTTGGTCGGTTGTTTTTTTGAGACAGGGTTATTCTGAATAGCCCTGGCTGTCTTGGAACTCACTCTGTAGACCAAGCTGACCTCAAACTCAGAGATCCACCTACCTCTGCCTCCTGAGTGCTGGGATTAAATCTGTGTGCCACCACTGCCTGGCAATTGTTTCTTCTTGTATTTTTAGAGTTTTCAGGTGTGCCACTAAGTTACAAACACGAGATACCTCTATACTGGCATTTCATTTGTATTTTAATAAATAAAACTTGCCCGAGGATCAGAAAAGTAAAACAACCCCACTGGCCAGCCTTACAGACCAGGCAGCAGTGACATACACCATTAATCCTAGTAGCCACACTAGTTTGCCATAGAAACCGGGCAAAGTGGTACATGCCCTTAATCCCAGAACTAGAGAGGATTATAAAACAAGAAGAGACAGCTCTCAGGTTCCGTCTCATTCTGAGATTCCTGGAGGCAGACTTGCCATTTCGGATTGAGATCAAGGTAATAGCCAATGGTTGGCTGCTTTGATTTTTTGACCTTCAAGTTGAACCCCAGTTTCCATCTCTGAGTTTTATTAATTGTGCTTCATACTTCCATTTATTTTATGTAGGCACTTAGCACTATGAACTTGCTTGCCTCTTAGGCCTGCCTTCATTATATTCCATAGGTTTGAGTTTGAGTATGTTGTGTTTTCATTTTCATTCAATTCTAAAAAGTTTTTAAATTTCCTTATTGATTTCTGTCTTGACCCAATTTCATTCCATGGTGAGCCACTCAGCTTCCATGAATTTTTATACTCTCTGTCATTTTCTCTGTTGTTGACATCTAGCTTTAATCTAAATGGTCAGATAGAATGCAAGGTGTTATTTAAGGTCTCTTATGTATACTAGATGGTGGGTATATCTGATTAGTTTGCTGTTGCTTCTCTTCCCCAAGCAGCCACAGTGGTTCTCTGCCCAGCTCATAGCCACTTTTCTGGAGTCTAGCACAGTGCCTTTCTTAGCCTTTGCAGGAGCTCAGATAAATGTATGCTACCTGGATGAATGAGTGGGTGGATCTAGCTGAGGGGCAGAGGCAAAATGCAGTGGGAAAGAGGAGTGCTGAGGGAGCACCACCTCAGAGAGAGGGACTGAAGGCATGGTCCATCAGTTCAGAGTGCTCCCTGCACTGCACTCATGCATAGCCCCGCACAATGATAACACACATACACATAATTCAAGAACAAAAGTTAAAAGCCTAGGAGTTGGAGAGGTGGTTCAGTGGTCAAAAGTTCTTCCTGATCTTGCACATTTGGGTCCTGGCACCTACACTGGGGTGTAGTGATAAGAATGAGCAGGCCTGGGGGCTGGAGAGATGGCTCAGAGGTTAAGAGCATTGACTGCTCTTCCAAAGGTCCTGAGTTCAATTCCCAGCAACCACATGGTGGCTAACAACCATCTATAATGAGATCTGGTGCCCTCTTCTGGTATGCAGGCAGGCATAGAAGGAATGTTGTATACATAATAAATAAATAAATAAATAAGAAAAAGGATTAGCCTTAAGAAGTCTTTAAAAAAAAAAAAAAGAATGAGCAGGCCTGCTTTTTGTCCTACCCAGCTTCCACACAGCTAGCTTTATACCCGAAATAACAACACACAAATTATATTCACTCAAACACTGCCTGGACCATTAGTTCTAGCTTCTTATTGGCTAGCTCTCACATCTTGATTAACCCATTTCTAATAATTTTTGTACCACCACGAAGTGGTGGCTTATTGGGAAGATTCTAACCACCATCTGTCTTGGGTAGGAGAAGCATGGCGTCTGCCTGACTCTGCTTTCTTCCTTCCAGAATTCTATTCTGTCTACTCCACCCACCTAAGGGCTGGCCTATCAAAAGGCCAAGGCAGTTCTTTATTGACCAATGAAAGTAACACATAGACAGATGACCCTCCTACATCACTGGGGATTCAGCACCTCCTTTGGACTTCTACACTCACATGGTGGTACACATTCAAACAAACAGGTACACATATGCACACAAATAAAAATGAAATAAATATTTTTTCATTAAAAAATACACCTCAAGAAAGCAAGAGAGTAGAAAAGCACCCAGAGCCAGTCTAGCCCAGCACAGGTGGGTACATATCCTCCCCGTAGAGGGGCT